CCTGTCCTCCCCTGCTTCCTCTAGCACCTCCTGCCCAGCCCCAAGCCTGCCACTGCCCCTGCCATTTCCTGCCCCCCATGTGCAGCTCCTGAACAAGGCAGTCCGGGGCCCTGCCCCAGCCCTGGCCCCGGCCCCCTCCCCCCAGCTGCCTTCCTACAAGTCACGGGGGCTGGTTTGCTTTGGCAGCTTCCCTGCTGCCTGCAGCAGTGACCTCTGGAGCCTGGAAGTCCTACACAGGGGGGATGGGGGGCTTGGCCCGGAAAAGGCAGCACTGAGTGCTGAGGCCCAGGCCAAGTGGCCGGAAGTGTCCACAGGCAGATACACACTGTCCCGCCAGCAGCCAAGAGCGATCCACGTCAGACCCCAGGGCCAGATAAACACCCAGACACACAAGGGTCACCATCAGACACCTGCTTGTGGACAGCCATGCACCCAAACACAGACCACAGCTGCTCGCCCCACACACTGGCTCCACTCAGAGCCACAGCCTCTCACAGGGGGTCGTGCTGGCGGGGCCCCGCTGCTGCCCAGCCCCTCATCTCCCTCTCCCTCTCCCCAGCTCCCATCACAGCAGAGACCCACACTGCTGGGAAGAGACGGCTGCATTCCCTCTCTTCTCTCCAGAGCACCTTCCCTGCCCTGCTGCCCCCTGCCCTACCCATGGCTCCCCTCTGCCCTCCCCCACCCTCCCATACGACTCACGGTCCCCACTGAGCTAGTGGCCCCCCAACCCCAACTAGTCGAGTACTAAGTGGCTGTCCCCGGGGAGGGCAAGACCCACCCACCTGCTCCTTCCTCATCCTTACCCCTGAACATGCACAGAGAGGTCCCACTGCCTGCCCGGGAGGGCGGCTCCCCAGGAGAACTGAGGCTTTGGGATTTGAGGGGTGTAGAGGGTGACGGGGCTCACGAGAAAGACTATGAATCAAGTCCAAGAATCTTTATTTCATGAACAAAACTACTTGTGTGAAGAGAGACGAGGCTGAACGGGCCCCTTTCTAAGTGGCCACGATCCAAGGCTGGTGAGAGAGGGCAGGGTTGGGCCGGGGGCAAGAGTGCATCACAGGGAGAGGGGACCCCAGGTCCAGCCAGAGGAAGGAGGGGAAATGTTGCTGGGGGTCGGGGTGGGCCCCAGAACCCCCTGCCCCAAACCGTGCCAGCCCATCACGACCCCCCACCGGGTGGGGGCTGGGGCAGGGAGGGGCTGGGCCCCAGTAGTGTGCATCTGAAGCGGCCAGTGTGTGCAAATCAGCAAGGAGGAGGGGTGCGGAGCCGCTGCCCCCACCTCACCGCCCCCCCTCCCAAACAGGCAGCAGAAGCAGGGGTGGGGGCAGCGGCAGTATTGCTTTACCCATCATGCATGGCGTGGGTGGGCAATGGAGCAGGAGGAAGTAGGCTGGATTGGGGGTGTGAGCCAAGCCCCCTGCCCCCTCCCACCCTGGCGGCTCCATTGGCAGGACTCTGAGGCTCGTGGAGGCCCGGGAATGGCCAACCCCCACTGGGGGCAGGCTGTGCCCAGATGTTCCTCATTTAGGGCTGGCTCTTCCTTGAGGTGGAGCCCAGGGCCTAAAGGTGAGGGAGAGACAGGTATCAGGGACCTAGTGGGCGACACCCTCCCGGGCGCTGCGGTCCCTGCCCACCCACCTACCTTACCAGGGCTATTCGGCCACCTGGACGCCCGTACAGTTCTCTTTGCTTTCTGAGGTGATGGCCAGGTATTCCGAGCTGTGGGGGCAAAGGCCAGATGTACAGCGACCCCCATCATCAGTCTGGCCCACCCCCAGGAAACTGAGGCGGGTTGGGGTCTCCGCCCCAGGTGTACAGAGTTCTGGAGCTAGAGAGAGGAGGAGACTGCAAGCTGGGCTCCCAGGATCCACAAGAAGTCTAGGCTGGGGCCCCGAGTCCTGAGTCTGAGGGAAGAGGAGTCTGGGGGTCCAGACTCCTGGGTCCTGGGAGGGGAAGGGGCTGGGACCTGACCTTATCCATCTCTGACAACAAACATCCCTCTCGGGGAAGCCCTGGTCTGGGTCGCCTGACCCCCCTCCCTACCGACCCCACTCACGCATTCTCTTGTGCAGCAGCCTCCGTGGCCGCGGCGATCTTCTTGTAGCAATAAACCATCTCTGCCACGAGCCATATGGTCAACACCACGATGAGCACATACATCATGATCTCCGACACGATGGATGCCATGTCTCTGTTGGCTGCAAGTGCCAGGCAGGGTTAGGTGGCAGTCAAGGCTAGGCTCAGGAGGCATGACAGCCTGAGGCGCCCCAAGCCTGCTGTGTGAGCCTGAGCAAGTGGCTTGGCCTCTCTGGGCCTGGTCTGCAAATAGGACCATGCAGCTTCCCTAGAGTCATCATCGTTACCATGATTCTTAATAACCAGCCTCAGGTGGGCCTTGAGGTCCCCCTCACCCTGCCTCCCTGTGTGGCTTGAGGGGGCACCTGTGTCATTCAGGTGACCGTAGGTGCTCAAGAGCCATGGCTTTGCAACCAGAAGGCTCGGGTTCAAGTCCCGGCTCTGCCACTTCCCAGCTGTGTAACCTTGGGCAAGTGACTCATCCTCTCTGGGTGTGAGTTTCTCCATCTGTGAGAAGCTGATAATGACAATAGCTCCTTCTTGGGAGTGCTGTAGAAATAAGTCCGCTTCAAAAATCCTTAGAACAGTGCTTAACCTATAGATAGCATTCAATAAATGCTTACTATTATTAATACTATTATTACTGTTAAGAGTGGGGGCTCTGGGGGCAGACTGCCAGGGTTCAGATCCTGCCTCTGCCTCTTATTAGCTGTGTGACCTTAGGTAAATGACTCCGCCTCTCTGGGCCTCAATTCCCCCTCTGTGAAACGGAGATGATGAGACTCATGCCTTCTCTCAGGGTGGCTGGGAAGAGAAAACAAGTTAATATCTGTATTAAGCACACGCTTAAAATCCAAGCACACGCTTGGATGTGCTCCCAGTCAGCACTGCCTAAATGTTGGCTATTCACTGACATTTTCCGGAAACCTTCTATCCTTTCCACGGCACTGCCTCTTGCCATTGCCAGCTTCCTTTCATTGAGCCTAAATTTAAACTATGAGGGGGATGCATTCAGCCAGGGAACTAGAGGTGGAGGCCACTGTGGCGTCATCGGCCGGATTTCACGGGTGTCCAGTCCGTATCCCTGGGCCTTTCCTTCCTGATGGCCGGGACCTCATTTCCCCCCTGTCCTCACATGGTCTTTCCTCCCCTGTCCGTGGGCACTTTCTGCTGCTCCAACCGGTGCAGATGGCACCGATGCTTTCTGGGCCAGAGTGAGGGAGGGTGCGGGCCGGATGCTTCTCCCCTGCCTCTCTGCCGGAAGGAGCTGGGGAAAGGGTTCCACACATCATTCGTTCGTTGGTCCTTTCGTTCATTCATTCATTCATTCATTCAAAAGATACGAGTGTATCTCATATGGTTGAATGCACACTTTCAGCCAGGCTGTGTGCTAAGTTCCTTATCTGGGCATCTCTCTGAGTCTTTGAAACACCCTAAGGATAGAGGGAGTTCTGGCTTCCCATGTCAGCTGACCTCAGGAAGTACACTGAGTTGGATATATGTTGGATAAAGCTTACACCACCGGGTTCTCATCCCTGCTCCTGGAACTCAGTGCCCAAAGGGATTTAGGTAATCTGGTGTCTCCTGCCCTCCCAATCAGATTAGGACAGTGACAGGCACGGCTCTGTAACCCATTTTCCAGACAAGGACACTGAGGCTCAGAAAGTGGACGGTGCTAGGCAAGGAGGCACAGCCAGGATTGGACTCGGAGCCAGGATTCAACCCCAAGCGTTAGCAGCTGCAGGGTCTGGGCTCTTATCTGCCCTGGGAACTACTACAGCCGAAGAAAGACTTGGTAAAGGCTGCTGTATATCAAGTGCAGTTCCCATCAAGCCGTATAGACATCCCAGGAGGTAGGACTGTGGTTCCCCCACTTCACAGATGAGGAACTGGGGCAGAGGGTAATAGGCACCTTGCCTGGGGAGAACTCTGATTTCTTCAAAACCCCCCAAGTCTTCTAAAAGCTTCACCTGCCTGCCCCCAGTAGAAGCCCCCAGATCTGAGGCCCCCGCCCACATCTGTGCATGCCAGGTTTCTCCCTCGCCTCAGACGCTGCTCTACCTCAAGACATTCTCCACCCGTGCTGGGTATATCCAAAATAGAATCAGCCCTCTGGTCCCTGTTTGCTGGCTCCACTCCTGGTGGGGGACTCCCGGGTGCTTCTCTGGTCTCCTACAGCTCTGCCAGCTCGGCAAAGGTCCCACCACCAGCACCCACGGGCCCTCCTTTGGAAATGACTCCTTGGAAAACCCTCCTTGGGGTTATTACCAGGAGGCAGTATTGGCTGATGGGTCATGTTGAGAATGCAGTACGATTGTGGATTATAACAAAAAAAAGAATATGGTAGGTGCCTGGGTGGCCCAGTCGGTTGAGCCTCCGACTCCTGATTTTAGCTCAGGTTATGATCTCGAGGTTTGTGAGTTCGAGCCCTGCATTGGGCTCTGCACTGATGGTGTGGAGCCTGCTTGGGATTCTCTCTCTCTCTCTCTCTCTCTCTCTCTCTCTTTGCCCCTCCCTTATGTGCTCTCTCTCTCTCTCTCTCAATAAGTAAACTTTAAAAATTTTTTAAAAATTAAAAAAGAAAAAAAGAAAAAAAAGGTATGGCCAGCAATACTAACAATGCAATATAATGGGTAATGAAAGACATACTGTGGTGGGATAAGTAATGTTAAAAATACTACAGTATGCTGGGTAATGCTGACTATATTATAGCATAACGAGTAAAATTTTAAAATACTACAATGTGATTAATTTAAAGTACTACAGCATGGTGGGTAATGTTAAAAATACTCTTGTATGATGGATTATGACGAAAACATTGTTGTATGTTTGGTAATGTTAAAGAGTATAGTATATAGTAATACAAAATGCTTTAATACGGTGGATAAAAAACACTAGAGCATGTTGGATAATGAAGAAACCACAGACTCTGGGAAAACAACATAGCTCTGCCTATGGTAATTGTTAAGAACACCGGCTCTGGTGGGCAGGAGAATATGGTAGATAAAGTTTAAAAGAGGCTCTGCTGGGACGTGGGCGCACCTGACCCCCGCCTCCCCCTCGCAGGTGAGGACAGCATCCCGGGCAAGGGCCAAGCCACAGGATGGAAGAAACCCGGCTGCCTGAACGGTATCATGGAGCCTCCCTGCCCTCCTGACCCCTGGCCTCGGCGCCGATTCAGGAGACAAGACTGACACAGATTTTGTTCAGCTACAGTGTTTGGGGGCGTTCTTGCTACAGCCACTCCCTCGGGCGGGGCTCCATCTTCTACATCCGTGGGTGGCCACCCACCCAGCATCGTGACCTACACCAGCGAGTAGCTCCGACACGTCTCCTGTGTTGAATCCTGCGGGATCACTTTGATAACAAGCGTAAAAATGCTAATTATCAAAAGAAACCCACAGGCTCTGGCTGACAGCAGAGTATAGTGAATCATGCCAAGAACAGAAACGGCAGTCACACACGCTTAGTTGGGTTCAAATCCGGGTCCCAGCTCTGTGATCTCGGCCACATAGTCTTACCTCCCTGAGCCCGGGGTTTCCCATCTGTAAAGTGGGGGGTAGTAAGAGCCCCTAGCCAGGAGGGTGGGTGGGAGGGTTCAATGAGGGACTGCACGTAGGCTCTGAGGCTGGCACCCCCCTGGGGGAAAAGGAAGGACGATGCACAGTCCCCGTGACAATGCGCATGCGCCGTGGGCCCCACGGGGCGTACTTGCCATGGCTCTCGGGTGGCTCAAGTTCTGGGATATCTTCCTGACTCTAAGCCAATGGGCCACTGTGCCCTGGAAAATTCCAGTTTGCACCCATCAGAAGATGGTTCAGAGAAGGGATCCAAGGCAGCTGGAGCCAAAATGATGAAATGTTCAAAAACACCTTGCATCCTTGCTGTTCAGTGTGGCCCCAGACCTGCAGTGTCGGCTTTGCTGAGAGCTCGTTAGACATGTGGCCTGAGCCCCCGCCCCAGGCCTGCTGGGTCGGAGTCTGCACATTAGCAAGACTCCCAGCAGGTCCACGCACACAGCAGAATTTAAGGAGCTCTGCTCCAAGGGACACACTCTTATCTCTTCCCTCACGGTCACAAAGGGAGGAGGGGCTGAGGCTCTCCGACAGTCAGAACCTCCACCGTCATCCCCACTGCTGAGGCCCCGCTGCGGGCCAGGCACGGGGGCAGCTGACACCCAGCACACCTCCCCATAGAACAGTTCAGACAATGCCCTGGGAGGTGGATACCATTATCGACCTGCATCCTACAGGACAACCCTCCCTCAGAGAGGGGAAGGCACACCTGCCGGAGGCCCCACAGCACAGGTGGCAGAGTTTGGCACCCAGAACGTCCAGAGGAGAGGCCTGCTGTGGCCCTTGCCTGGGGTTGAGAGGAAATGGAAGCCAGAGCTGGGGCTGGGGAAGGAGGTGCGGCTCCCCCCGCCGCCGTGGGCGTTTGCCTGACCCAGGCGTGGAGCCAGCCTGTCCCCTACCTGCCATCTGTCCCGCCATCTGGCTGCCAGTGGGCAACAGGGGTGAGGGGGGGAGGCAGGGTCTGACTCACCTTTGTCCACCACCTCAAGGTGGATCTTTTTGACGACGCTGGTGTTGTGCTCGTAGTTCTCAAAGAAGAGCAGGCGGTAGACGTGGCACTGGTAGTCGCCCGAGTGGTTGTAGGTGACGTTGGTGATGAAGATGGACAGGTCCTGCAGGTCCTTGGTGCCCCGGCTGCCGTTCCACACCACGCGGCCCTCGAAACGCTCGTCCTCCTCCAGCTGCAGCACCTCGTTCTCATAGCGCAGGATCTGGGGGCGGCAGGGCCGGTCACTGCCTGCGCCCGGCCCCCTACCCAGACTATTCTGTCCCTTGCCCTGACACTCAGACAGTCAGTGGACACACACACGGGCACCGTGACCTCAGGCAGGGAGGGCGCAGGGGAGGCTAGGATCAGGCCCCGGCCCGCCCCCAACGCCGAGTGTGTCCCTGGAGCTGACATGCACGCACACGCACACTCACACACATATTCCTCAGGCATCCTCCGGAGTACCCCCCACCCCCCCTTCCGCCTTCCTGGCTTTCGTTCTCTAAAGTTCTTCCCGGCCACCAGGCACACTCCTCAGGCAGGGACAGAGGGGTCCCATCTCAGCTGCTGCAGACCCCAGCTCTCCAGCAGGCGCCCCCTCGTTTGTAATGCAAAATACGTGTAACACAAAGGAGGCCAAAAAAGTTCTGCTTTTCTTCCATAATGACTGCCTGAGACATTCTTGCTGGCACTAAATAGTTCCAACGACACTCACTCTGTGCCACCCGTGTCCCAGGAGCAACAGCCACGTGGACCCTCACACACACCTCGGAGCTAGAGACCATCACCCCCCCCACCCCCACCCCCGCCATCTTTCCAGAAGAGGGAACTGAGGCTCGGAGAAGCTCAGCGCCTTGCCCAAGGTCACCAGCTGGTCACTGGGGGAGCCGGAGTTCGAACCCAGGCCACTGATAGTGGCACCTTACTGAAAACAGACAAGCCACCCCCTCCTGGCCCCTGGCCCCTGCCTGCCACCAACCCCCACACAAATGCCCACCCTCCCACAGCCGTGCGCCCGCACACCTTGACAAACTCCTCCGTGCCCTTCTGGCGGAAGGTCCACTCGGTGAAGGTCTCGGCGGTGGTCTCGCTGCGGCGCTTGCAGGAGATGCACAGGATTTTGAAGGTCATCCCGTACACGGCCTCCGTCTCCGAGTCCACCTCCACACAGCCCCCCCAGGCTGAGGACACTGCGGGGACAGCAGGCTCAGGTCGCGCAGGGCCACCCATCGCCCTAGGCAGTGCCAGGCTCACTGGTTGTTGGCTCTCGGAGACCATCTGTTTCCCCTCAATAACATTATGAATGGACAGACCCAGACACTAAGCCTGGCCCTGCCACTTGCCGTGTCCCCTTGGCGAGTCTCTCAGAATCTGTGGCCTCAGTTTCCCTCTGTGAGGGGAGGGAAACCATCCGTCTCTGCTTCTGGGCGTTGCTGAGCAGATTCCGTGAGTTAGGTAAGGCCCCAGCAGGGGGCCTGCCACACAGGAAGCTCCCCCCCCACCCCCACCCCTTAGCAAAATAGGGCTGTCACTATGGTCAGGAACTTCGAGTCTTTGCTCTCTACCCAAGTAGCCACCCAAGTAGCCCTTCTTAAGAAATCCACTTGGCCAGGGTGCTGCAGCATTTAGGTGGTGGGACTAGAATTCCAGATGGGTTAGAAGCTCAAGGTGGCAGAGTCTTTTCTACCATTACTGCTCTGAAAAACCAGTCAGCCCCAGACAGTGGACCAGGAGAAGGCAAGGCCTCGGGGGGCTAGGTGGGCACTGGAAGCAGGGCCGACCTGCGCTCCAGCCCTGTTCCCCAGGTCCCCAAGTTCTGGTGTCATCCACTCCCTACCCAACTTCGGCCTCTGGCCCCTCTGCCCCCAAGGCTCCTCACCTCCCGACTCCTGTCCCACCTCCTGTCAGCTTCTCAAAACTCACTGAGCTCTTTGCAGCCTCAGGGACTTTGTGTCCGCACTGGATTCCAGTCCCTTTGGGTGCCTCCTCCACATTCTTACCTGCCACCCCCTTCCCAAGGCCCAACACTCATCAGAGAATGCTATGCCTCTCCAGCTCTAGCTCTGGGTGTTCTGTTGTTTGTTCGTTTGTTTTCCCCCTGAGTGTCTTCGTCTAGGAATCCTGGGAACTTCTTGTCCTCCTTCTCTTCGGTCTCTCTCCAACTCCTTACGCACCTCTGTGTCTGTCTCCCCTACTTTATATCTCTTAGGGAGTCTCTCTGGAGGGCCCACCGCTTTGTGTCCTCTTTCCAGACTCAGACAGCCTCTTCCGGTCGGTCTCTCCACCTTTCCCTGCCTCTTTTACACCCCGTCTCTTCCTGTGTCTACCTGTGTCTCCGCCTGGCCCTGCCTCTCTCAAGTTTCTCTCTCTAGCGCTCCGATTTCTAACTCGCTTCTCGGCCTCTCTCTGGCACCCTCTACATCCCTCTCAGTCTCCGTCTCCCCCCTTACTCCCGATCCCCAGTCTCCGCGGAGCAAGCCCGAGTACTCCGAGTAGCTGTGTCTCTCGCGCCTTCCCTTCCGTCCCCATCTCTCCCTGTGTCTCGGTCTTCCCCGTCCCAGTCTCCGGGCGCCGCCTTCCCCCACCCCCTCCCGCGGCTGTGGGTGTCACATTGCAGCCTGCGGGGCTCCGAGAGCAGCTGACTCCGCGTTTCCTCGCCCCCGGCTGGGCGCCCGCAGCCGCCGAGCTGTGCCAGCCCGGCCCCCGCCCTCTCTCGCCCACCCGCACCTCCACCGCCCTCCCCCGCCCCGCGCCCGGCGCTCCG